GACCATGTGGAGATTTATAATGAAGTGTCGTTCGTTACAGATCAAAAACTTCATCACAGATGTGTAATTAGTTCAATGACGAAGCCTTGGTCATCACAGTTCTAAAGAGGATCATCATAGATGAGCAGGAACAGTCGTGCGAGGTTTTTTGTGACGAACCCTATGCTGTTCTATGACGTTTTTGTGTGACGGTGTCTGATTTCGTCATAGATAGGGAGGGCTAGAGGATCGTCACCACTGATCTATGACGAAACGTAAATATTCATAATAGATAGCGATCTTCTATGACAGTTTCGGATTCGTCATTATATTTTGGTCGTAGAAGTGGATATTTCTCATAGTGGCGTCAGCGAGGGTCATGTCGAGAGCCATCCTAGACCTCATTGGATGGAGCCACGCCATCTGTTTCCTTGGGTGTGAAGGAAAAGAGTTGTCGAGGGTATAGTCTTTGGGCAATGCTAGTGTAGGGTGGCGTGTCGAGGCCCTCCCCTTAACAGCAGCCATGCGTCGCGGCCCTTCTTCTGGTGCCCTAGCGGTACCCAGCATGAACCACCATTTATAACATGATTTCTGGTTTTGGTGCAGAGAGACGGGGCTAGGAGATATGGGAGGAAAGACAATGTGAGGAGCCTGATCAAGCCCACAACGCTATCCCGATGACAGAACCGAGACAGCTCCGTGGTGAGTAGTAGGCGTATGCTGGTCTTCCCCTTTCCTGTTCCTCGTCCTGCTCGTCCCTCCTCTGGCCCCCTTCCTCTTTGCCTCTGGCATCTCGCTGGCAGCTAGAGGGAGGTGGGCCGGCCCTGGCTTCCTGTGTATATACTACCTTCCTCCTTGTTTAAGTTTGTACCAATAGTTTTAGGATGAGTGTTCGTCGCCGCTGCTCTATTTCCATGGAACCTACAGTACTAGCTCTCTTGCTTGAGCTATGCGTTGGCTGCCATGGATTCAAAGAGAGCACCTACCAAATAAAGGCGGCGTTCTCCTTCTCCCCTCCCTCTGCCCAACTCGAACTGCTAGCATCCAGAGTTGTTCAGTTGGATTGCACGCCTCTCCGCAATCCCGCGCACTACGTGAAAAACAATTTGTAGTAACAGGGCTTTTTCAGGAGCGGCTAGCATTAGAGCCGTCCCTACAGTGGCATGCTCGGGCTCCAGCACAACAACCTTCTCTACAAATGGCACAGTAAGGGCGGCTGGTAATACGAGCCGCCCCTACAAATACGTCGATTTGTAGGGGCGGCTGATATTACGAGCCGCCCCTGCTACCAGCGAGACCACGTCGCCCCAATTCAACCCAAATAAAATGATGCCTCCCCTTCTCGGAAAAAAACAGGCTCCCTCCCACGCTCGGCCTCCCCTCCCCCTCGTCTCACTCATGCTCCTCTCGCGGCGCGCCGCCTCCACCACTCGTGCCCCGTCCCCTCCCTCCCCATCTCCTTCTCCCTCTCTACCTCTCTCTCTCGACGTGGTGGCGCATCGGCCCGGCCCCGGCGCGGGCACCTCCACGTGCGCACGCCCTGGGAGGCGGTGCAGCCGGTGTGCGCCGCAGCTGCGCCGATGAGCCCGGTGGTGGCCGCCTCCTGCCACGACGTGGCGCCCGCGAGCCCCATCGCTAGCCGCGGCGCGTGGCTACCGCCCGGCGTAGCCTGCTCCCATGCGGTCCTCGCATCATCCCCTCCTCGGTTTGGTCCCCCCTCTCTCTCCTTACCTCTTCCTACCGGATCTCCCTCTCCCAGCGTTCGCGGAGGCTCGCTCCCCTTCACTATGGAGGGCGATCTATGTGCACACGAACTGTGCGCCTGTGCTACAGGAAACCCTAGCTTTACTGATGTTGCCCTTCAAATGGAAACTAGACCCAAATCTATCTATTTTCTGTGTCTATTGATATATGCTATAGATGTTGAAGGTCTGTACCTACTCATCGATTTGCTTCGACCCCAATTACTTAGGTACTTCTATTCTTGGACTTGGATTCTTAGACAGCCTGGATTAAATTCATGTGTGCTATGGCCAGTGCTTTAGTGCTGCTGCAAACTTTCATAGTTGGTGCACTATCTTTTTGTTGTGTTGTTACAGTGTCACCTAGCACTATCTTTTTGCTATGTTGCTTTACAGTGGCACCTAGAACTGTCATGATAGATTAAAGTATGATCTGAATTAGTAGTTTTGAGTATAGACTGCATGTTCAGAGCTACTAAGTATGCTTGAATGTAAATTGGCTCACATAAATTAGTGGCAGCGATCTGGTAACTTATTCATTATGTTCTATAAACAGCTTGTTTTGAGGATGAAACATAATGCTATCAAAACTCCTATTTTTTTGTAATTGCTGGTTCGAGTTCAGAAATCTTTTTCTGAAAACTTTTTCTGTTTCTCCAGATGTTTGGTTAAATACTTGGAGTTTCAGCTTGATTCGTACCTTGCATGGAAGGTCTAGTACAGGAGCATGTCCCAAGTTGAGTTTTATGTCATGTGCTTTTTTAAAGGGTATATATTTCACTGGTACAGCTGAAATTTTGCTGAATATGATGCTAGGTAAAGAGAAAACTCCCGTTCCAGTCTGTTGTATGGTGACATAGAAAATTACCCTTCTAGGTAGTGGGTTATCAATGTAATATATGATAGTTGTTGTGTTAAGAAAAGCTGATAGTTGCATTTTATCTTCATGGTGGTTAACTGGTTATTTGTGGTAGGGGAGACAAATCCATTGAGTTGGGCAATGAGGATGAGGGCTGCAAAGTGGTGGGCAATATATATCACGACCTATTGATAATTGTAGATGGGCAAGTACCATGTTAACTCTTTTTGCAAGTAATTTGATTGCTGTGTACTCTATCCTTTTATCCTTTTTTAAGTCATTTTTTCTTGCCTGTATATATTACCACTACTGAGATCTAGTACCATATTAACTCTTTTAAGGCTAGATGAGCGATGATAAGAGCTCTCACCTCCAAGGCTACGAAGAGTACGATTTATTATGAGCCCAGATCTGATGGAGTAGGCTCATAGAATGATAGAACTACTTACTGCTTCTCGACAGTTGAAATTTTTTCCTTTGATTGCTATTAAATTATTTGATTTGCATAATCAATAATTCATGCAAATTTGCAAATTACTTTAGGAATAGTTAAAGAATTACTGAGTTGTTCAGTGGAAGCACAGCAGATTCTAATGTTATTGAATTATGAACTGGGTCAATGCATGTATGTTGGAAATTAATATATATGAACCCTTGTAGTAAAGCATTCATGGATTTAACATTAGTTAAGATAGATGCATATGCTGGTTAATAATCTGAATTGTAACATTTTTTCTGTGCTAAGTTGCTACTTGTTTCCAGCTTAGCTTTGTTGGTTATGTTTTTGTCGCTGCTTGCAGTTAAATTAAATATAGTGAGATTCATTAAGAGTTAGTAAATGTTGCATTTGATGGGGTCTGTTATGGTGTGGAGCCTTTGTTTTGTCATAGCATTCTGTACATGTGGTGGTGCCATAGCTCATCTTTCTGTTTCCTGTTTCCTTTTTTTTGGCATGATCCTGCATGAGCACAAGGCTTCAGAAGATCACCCGCTAGCACAACATAGACAAGTGCCATGACAGAGGTCAGTGATCACACTCCCACTCCACCTCTTAGGCAGCAGATTTCAGGTGACTAGCCCCCCTTAAGTTAGGCGCCGCACCATCTTTTTTATCGGGCCCGGGGATTGCCTCCTCTGATCAGCTCAGTGGACAGTGGGCATGTCTTTCTAAACCAAAAAATGCATGATCATTGACCATGTTGAAGTGTTCTTAATTAATACAATGATAGTGTCATACAATATATCAGTTGGAGCCCTTTGGAACATTTTCTATCAATTTGCACTTGTCTCATCATGCTGCTTATAACATTGTGTGAGTTTGCAAATTGCACTACATTTAAACACTTTTGTTGCCTGCTTAAACTGCTGAAGATCAAGTGATGAGCAATTAACTGCTCGAACGATATGATTGGAGTTATTCCCCTATGATTCCAAAATATTTAAATCTCTGATGATCCCATCTTTGTCCTTGTGCGTCATATTCGGAGAAGCATTATACTAAACAATGATTGTCATTGTTTGTCTTCGAAAATCTCAATATTTTGTAATTGGGCCTCATAGCACTACTTGTCCTACTCCTCCATCCATGTTGCTATATTTCTTGGGGATACATAGCTGGGTTTTTCTTGCCTGTTTCCATGGTCAGATGATGAGTATTAAACTACAACAATATGATTTGATATTATTCTCCTGTGATTGAATTTAAGTCATGATGGAGTTGTGCATGAAAAATATATGTTCTGGTCGAATTTGAATTGTAAATTAAAAATTTTTTGGCGAAAAATGTACTGTAGGGGCGGTTCTAGACTGAGCCGCCCCTACAAATCAATTTGTTGTAGGGCGGCTGTTGTTACCAGCCGCCCCTACAAACCAATTTGTATGTGCGGCTGATAACATTAGCCGCCCCTACAAATCGATTTGCAGGGTGGTCTGGGAACCGCCCCTACAAATACATGATTTGTAGAGACGGTATGGTAGGGGTGGCTGGCCGAGCCGCCTCTCCAAACCATTGCCAGCCGCCCCTACAAATGCTTTTTTTAGTAGTGGCGGCTCCCCAACAGAGCAGTCGAGCAGAGCAGCAGCCTCTACGTGGGCGCGATGCTGGCTTCACACTCGCTGCATGAGTAGCGGCTTTCTTCGAATCCCATGGCCGGAGGGCTGACGCGCCGGCAGATGCGGAGAGCCACGACGACAGCATCCATCTTCAGCCCGGACACGGAGCTCCTCGGTGCCCTCCGGGGTAGCGACATCGGCCTCATTGCATCCTCGTCGTGGACGGCACCGGGGCAGTCTGAGACTTCGCCAGCAACTCCGTAGCTGTCAGGGATGACAGGCCGACTAATACACTCTTCTTGTGCGCTTCTGGCCCATCTAATCTTGAAATTCAAATTGAGGAAATCAGGCCTGGTCCAGAAAGCACCATGGGCCGGGCTGATGGCAACCAAGCTCCTCAGAAACGCAAGGATATGCTCCTCCCAAATCTTGTTTCCATCTCTGATCCACGCACACCTCTAACCCAAACATTTGTGCGTCGCAGCACTCGCCTCTCATCCGACAAGGAGGGTTTCCGCCCGGTCAGAATCGATAAAGAGCCCTCTAAGCGGAGCAAGAATTGGGTGGTAGAAGTCGATGAAGTCACAGGGGAGATAAAACCCATCTCGACTTCTATTCTCAGAGGATGGGGTATACAATGTGGTGTTGACCCTAGCGGTCTCACTGACGATGCGCTATTACAGGCGCCTCCTCCATTTGTTCCCGATGAAGATGACGAAGAATAGTAAAGAAGGGAAGAAGCGGATGGAGAGCACTGGAGCTTCTATGGGCCAGAAGATCGTTTTTGTTTCCAACCAAGTCCATTATCCTATCGTGCAATCGATGTGCCTGTGTTGGAACAGCCTATATTTTGTGTTGGTTTCGGTTAAAGCTGATCACAATGCTCATGTTCGCTATGATTCATATCTATCCTGTACTGATGATCCTAGTGACGTCAGTGAGAGCTGCCCCCATAAATTTGTTATCAATGAATACACGTGATTGGAGCATTCTTTGCTGGAACATTCGGGGCATAAATCGATTAGATAAATGGGATGCAGTGCGAAATAAAATAGAAGAGAGTTCTTGTTCTATCATCAGTCTACAAGAAACAAAGCGAGAGGTTTTTGATATGCAGTACATCCAAAAATTTGCACCGAGAAGGTTTGATAATTTTGATTATATTCCTTCACTTGGAGCATCAGGAGGTTTACTTGTGCTGTGGAACAGCTCTATTTTTCCAGGTAACATGTTAGAAAAAAGGCAATATGGCATCACAGTGCAGTTTCAGTCTGCCCACACTAATGAAGTTTGGAAACTAACTACAGTCTATGGTCCTTGTGATGAACCGGCTAGATCAGAGTTCATTGAGTGGTTTCGAAATCAGGACATAGAGGACGAAGAAAACTGGATTTTTCTAGGAGATTTCAATTTCTATCGGTCACTTAGCAACAGGAACAAATTAGGGGGGATCTCAATGACACCTTCATATTCAATGACACAATTGGTCACTTGGGCCTGGTGGAGTTGCCATTGAAAGGTAGAGCATATACTTGGAGTAATATGCAGGATAGCCCATTATTAGAACAATTAGACTGGTTTCTTACATCAGCAAATTGGACTATTGAGTATCCAAATACAGAAGTCTTGCCACTTGCTAAGATAACCTCTGATCACTTGCCATGTCAAATCTCCATTGGGACAAAAATACCTAAAGCTAATATATTTCGTTTTGAGAATTATTGGGCAGAACAACATGATTTTATTGAAACAGTGCAAGACTGCTGGGCCAACTCTGCATTCCTGATGGACAGTGCCAGAAACATGTCATCAAAGTTTAAAAGCTTGAGAGCAAGGTTGAAACAGTGGAGTAAGAAAATTTCCAATCTACAACTTTTGATATCCAATTGTAATGCAGTCATCAGCACCTTAGATTCAGTGGAGGACCAGAGAGGCCTGTACCATCCTAAAATGAACCTGAGAATTGCAGTCAAAGCTCAGTTAAAAACATGGCTCAAATGTAAGAACATATACTGGCGCAATAGATATACAGTCAACAGAATGAAGTTTGGGGATGAATGCACCAAGTTTTTTCATGGCATGGCAACTATATCTTACAGAAGAAATTCAATAGCGCAGCTAAAAAATGATCAAGGAGCATGGATACAAGACCATGCAGGCAAATCAAGTCTTCTATGGGTCTCTTTCAGGCAAAGAATGGGTACCACAGCATCACCTACAATGACTTTTGACCTCCCACAAATGATTCAGCCAGTTGTGGACCTTGACAGCTTGGTTACACCTTTCATGACTGATGAAATTGACCAAATTGTCAAAAGTATGCCTCCAGACAAAGCTCCAGGGCCAGATGGATTCAATGGGTTATTTCTAAAAAAATGTTGGCAATTGATTAAACAGGATTTCTACAGATTGTGTTGGTCTCTCTATCACAACAACATCAGCCTGGAGAGCATCAATACATCATACATCACCTTGGTACCCAAGAAAGATAGCCCAGAGACTGAATGATTTCAGGCCTATTTCATTGATGAATATCTCTCTTAAGCTCATAACAAAGATATTAGCCAATGACTCTCAAATCGGTTATTCCGAGATTAGTTCACCGTAACCAAAGATGGGTTCATCGGATCAAGAACCATACAGATTGTCTTGGCATGGAGTTATGAATATATTCACCAGTGCCACCAATCAAAAAGAGAGATAATAATATTGAAGTTAGATTTTGAGAAGGCATTTGATACAATTGAACACTCCACTATCATTCGGATGATGACTCACCTAGGATTGCCTCGATAAATGGATTTAGTGGGTGCACAATATACTATCATCCTGCTCTTCACCGTGCTTCTAAATGGCATCTCCGGTAAATTCTATAAATGTAAGAGAGGGTTCGACAGGTGACCCTTTGTCACCATTGTTATTTGTGTTTGGGCATTGAACTTCTTCAGATCATTGTTAACCATGCCTGCAACCTGAACCTGCTATGTAAGCCCTTACCACAACCAGAAGAAGATTTTCCTATAGCACAATATGCGATGACACTTTGTCATTGCTGCATGTCGATGCTAGGCAACTATTTTTTCTCAAAGCCATACTCCATAGCTTTGCTGAATCGACAGGGTTAAAGGTGAACTATAGAAAATCCCAAATGTACCCTATCAATGTCACTCCAGACAAGATGGTCCTCCTTGCAAACACTTTTGGGTGTGATATTGGATCAATGCCCTTCACATATCTTGGTTTGCCCATGGGGACTACCAAGCCAAAAATTGAGGACCTAGCTCCTATGATGGATAGGGTGGAAAGAAGATTATCAGCCTGCTCTACTTGGTTGTCACAGAGTGGGAGACTTGAAATGGTGAATTCAGCCATTACACCTATCACCACCTATGCAATGAGCACCATCAAACTACCAAAAGGAGTGATTGAGAATATTGATAGGGAAAGGAAACAATGTCTTTGGAGAGGGAATTCTGAAAAGAAGAAAGGTGGGAACTTAGTTGCATGGGAAACTGTAATGTTGTCAAAGGAAAAAGGAGGACTAGGCATCATAAATCTTAGGCTGCAGAATGATGCATTGCTTATGAAACATCTAAGCAAGTTCTATAACAGGGCTGATCTCCCATGGGTAAGAATGGTATGGACCAGGTACTATACAAATCGAGTTCCTCATGCAGCCAGGGAGGTTGGATCTTTTTGGTGGAAGGATATATTGAGGTTGAACTTATTGTTCAGAGGCATTGCTAAATGCACAATTGGCAATGGTCAATCAGTTTGTTTCTGGGGAGATATTTGGATGAATGATCAGATCATTGCAACAAAATACCCAAGACTTGCATCCTTTGCAAAATCAGAGGCAATCTCAGTTTATGCGGTCATGCAAGCAGAGGACTTAGACTCACTCTTCATGCTACCTTTCTCCAATGAAGCCTATGCTGAATTTGTGAGTTTGCAAGAGGAATTGCAGATTATGGAATATGATGAGGAGGGCGTCGACAATTGGTCACCCATCTGGGGTGACAAATATAGCTCCAAAAGGTTCTATTCATATGCCTTCAAGGAACTAGATGCACACCCTATTTTCAAAATAATATGGAAATGCAAATGCAGCCCACGAGTTAAGTTCTTTGCATGGTTAATTTTGGTTGATCGTCTTAACACCAAAGATATGCTCCAGAGGAGGCATCTAAACATTCAGGGGACCCCGACATGTGTCATGTGCGCAGCAGGGAGTCTGGAGACCATAGAGCACCTATTTTTTGAATGTTCTTTTGCACAGGACTGCTGGTCCAAGCTTGAAATCAATTGGACCTCTCTCTGAATCCCCTAGACAGATTCATTCAAGCAAGATCTGCCCACCAGTTACCATTCTTCACTGAAGCCACGCTCATAGCAGCATGGGAGCTCTGGAAAGTCCGAAATGATAAAGTGTTTGCAAGACGTGACCCAACATTAGCACTTTGGTGGTCGAACTTCAAGAGTCAATGTTTAATACAATCTGTAAGATTCAAAGATGATCTTAGGTCATCCTTTTGTGCTTGGCTAGATGCCTTTAGTTAAGCTTTGTAAGTATGTACCTGTACCTGTACTCCCTCTTTTATAAATGAAATCAAAAAGGCACTGTGGGGATCTCCCCCACAGTTTTTGTGTCAAAAAAAACTCCGTAGCCGTGGCCGCATGGGTCCAGGCCACTTTGCTCTGGCCTATTACCCGGACGTGCTTGTCAGGTACGTGGCCGTGGGCACAGAACCTCTGCTGCGGCGCCCCGGTCACGCGTTGCCCGGTAGGGCTCGGGTCTCGGCCAGGCATCCATAGTTTTAAATCTCTCGCTATAGCTGCCGCATAGTCTTTTGAGGCAAGGTGCCGCTATTTATGGTTATATACAATTTAGGTGCTATATCTCGCTATAGCCTGATATAGCTCCGCTATTAGCTGTTTTAGAGATATATCGCTAAACACGATATGCCACTATTTAAAACATTGTGGACAGGTGTTCAGTGTCAGACAACTAGGCGTGCTTGGAGCAGGCCAAGGAGCAGTTCCCAACCACGTCGAGCTAAGGTACAAGCACACCCACCAACGTCACCACAACGGCAGCTTCAAGTTCACCTACATGAAGATGCAGTTCGCCATCTCCGACGCCGGTGCCTTCAACGACCTTGTGCAGCGCCTCACAGGGAGGTCCTCTTTGCCAGTCTCGCTCAGGCCTCACCTGTGCAGGCCAGCAGACGGCGGCCAACTCCCGGGTAGCCGCGGCGATGCTGCTCAACAAATCGGCTATTACTGCGGCCATATTTGTTTCTCTTATAATCCGTCTTTTTCAGCTTGTTTTTCAGCCAGAACAGTATTTTTCTCTCACAACAAATCAACCGGAACAGTGTTTCTATTTGTTTTTTCAGCAAAGCTAACGGGCCTGCGTCCGACGACTCCACCTATGTCCCCACGGCCGTGATTGCTGCCATCGGCTCCTGCCTCGCGGTCTACATCAACCTCTTCACCACGCTGAGGCTGGGAAACCTCTTCGAGGTTGAGGTGATCGCGGCGTTCGTGTCCTTCGCTGTCGAGGGCGTTCGCGTTCTCTGCGCCGCCGTTGTTGCCGTCGTCTCGCTCGACGGAGCTGTTGTGCTTGGTGGTGGGGCCCTGATGCTGTGGAGTGGGTTCCACCTCTGCTTCGTGCTAAGCATGCAGCAGGACACAGTGGCCTTCTTGTATCCACTCGGGTGAC